CACAGGCGGCTACGCTCTAAACCTTCCATTCATTCTTCATCTTCCAGGAATGTGAGGAAAACTAGCAGCAGCTCATTTATTTATTTATTCATTCATTTATTTGATAGGGACAAGTATGTTTCATGAATCATGTCACACACTACAACATTAGCTAAGGCTAATTCTCTGTGCGTGTCCCCAGTTAGGCTTTTACACAAACACAGTGACTGCACACAAAGCACAACAGAACAAATAACACACTGAAACATCACAGATACAAGATCAGGTCAGTTAGATTATTAATGTTCACATGTCTGACCTCTCAATAAAACGTTTTTAAGTTTGTGTTTAAAAAGGACCCAGTTTGACTCTCCCTTCAGTTCTGCAGGTCATGTATTCCATGTTTTGGTGCCTTGAGCAGTGAAAGCTGATTGTCTGAAGGAAGTTTTGCATCGGGGTACAGTTTCCACTGTGAGCTCCTCTTGAAACTGAGCCCACAGCTCTGAGAGGAACTACAGTCACTCAAAACCTCAGGGCCTGATCATGCAAGCATTTGTAAACCAGTTTTAACTGAGCAAATTTGACAAAGTTCTCAAAATTTAGTATTTTTAATTTGTTCAGACTAACACAGTGGACATGATGAAGGAACGGTAGCCGGCGTCATACAAAATCAGAGATTAAATCAATTTAGTGTTCTTAGTTGAATAATTGTAGCTCTAATTTGCTTGCTTACCGGGGTTTATGCCTTTCACCTCTTGATGGTTCCTGGACCGGCTGTTAAAATCCAGGTATTCCCACTGATTTAGTGATCAAGGTTCGGTTATCAGCAGAGCCATTAATTATCAATCAAAGAACAATTTATCTCTGTCTATTCAAACTATTACCAAAAGAGGGTGGATCTGGCCTGAGTGATAGGAAATTCGTTTATGAATCACAAACAAGTGCAAGTTAAACAATGACGTCTTTATTCTAATAATTCAGGATTACAGAAATCTAACATCTTCGCTGAACACTACACGCTATTAGAAAATAAGCACAAGGTAGACTGAGTGACTAAAGAATAAAACTGTAAGAGTCTGTTTAACTGACTTCCTTCGGTTTGGGGCAGAGGGAAAACGCAGCATCGGTCTCGACTTTGCTGGGTCCGTCTCTCGCCGTGTCCTCTCGCCGTGTCCTCTCCTTACAACCAAGCGAAAGAGACCGATTTCCATTCAGCGCTCAAATTTAAACCCTGAATGACGTAGGGGTATTTCCTGCTGCTTCTCATCAGCTGATTGGTCCATGCGTCAGCTGACTGTGCCAGGGCTGGAACTTTCAGAACTTTCAGAATGCTAGTCCTTGTTCTATTTGTAAAGTAGAGCCACAGATTGATCATAGTTTTGTTTTTAGTGAGCAAAGTGAGACCTTTGAAGTGAAGTAGGGACCTTTTCTTAGTGTTTGGTAGAATAGAGAATGCCCTTCACCTCTACAGACTCAACAATCTGAGTAAAGTTCTATTATTCCCAAGCTTATTCAGAACTGCTAAAGCCTTTTGGATAAGAAGCCATGCATCTTTAAAAGTTGGAGAAGTCTTGGTTCCTTCTACTGAAGCCTTCAGGATGAACTCCTTCATTCATAGAGAGAACGTCTTCTTTACAGTCATCTCCTTAGAATATATCCAGTTGATATGAGGCCTGTTTTGATCTTAAATGTTTCCTGATGTAATGAAAGTGCAACTGTGTGTTAACAGGTGCACACTGCAGCAGTCTGTGTGAAGAAGGACGGTGGGGCCCGAACTGTTTGCTGCAGTGTGATTGTAAGAATGGGGCCTCTTGCTCCCCAGATAAAGGAACCTGTGAGTGTTTACCAGGATTCAGGGGCACCTTCTGTCACAGAAGTAAGGACCAAATGTTCATATCATAAACATCATTTTATGTTTAATGATCATTATTTTAAGATGGTTAGTAATAATTACATTCCTCTCTGGCAAAATAAATTTTCAAAATTAACTAAATAATTAATTCCTGTGTTTCCATTAACAACTGTCAGTTAAATTTAGGCCTGAATGATGAATGATCCAAATCTTCTTTGAGTGTAAAGTCGGTTAACAAAAGAAAGGTGAAGCTAAATAGAAACGCTGTGAAATGGATTTTATTTAATTTATTTATTCCCACAAAGAGGTGACTGGTGGAATTAAAACAACTTACGTTTTTACCCATTTTATTGGTTTTATATTTGTAGTTCATCCATTTGATCAGTTGAAGCCCAACAGTCTGACAGTGCTACATTTATTCATGTGTTTTTGCATTTACAGTAGTTTTTCCTTTGGTTAAAACATAAGAGTCCTAATCTTAAGGTTTCCTCTGATTCTGTTGTAGTCTGCTCACCAGGTTACTTTGGACATCGCTGCAGTCAAACCTGTCCACAATGTGTCCACAGTAAAGAACCATGTCATCACATCACAGGACAGTGCCAATGTCTGCCTGGCTTCAAAGGACTGCTGTGTAATGAGGGTGAGACAAATAAAGTCATTTCTAATGTGAAACTGGTGTTTCTGTTAAACATGGCCTAATGCAGAAAAGGGGTTGAAGGAACCAGACCAAGACCAGATCAAGACCAGACCAAGACCAGGCCTTCCCAGACCAAGACCAGGCCTTCCCAGATCAAGACCAGACCAAGATCAGACCTTCCAAGACCAAGACCACATCAGGACCAGACCAAGACCAGACCTTTCCAGACCAAGACCAGACCTTCCCAGACCAAGACCAGACCTTCCAAGACCAAGACCACATCAGGACCAGACCAAGACCAGACCTTTCCAGACCAAGTCCAGACCTTCCCAGACCAAGACCAGACCAAGACCAGACCTTCCCAGACCAAGACCAGACCTTCCAAGACCAAGACCACATCAGGACCAGACCAAGACCAGACCTTCCCAGACCAAGACCATACCAACGCCGTGGCTAAATGTTCATCAATATGGAAAACACTTTATTCAATTCTATTCAGTTTATTTCTATAGCTCCAATTCACATCATGTCCTCTCAGTTCATTTTATAGATCTATATAAATCAGATTATTATAAACCAGATGATCCAGTCAGATTGATTCAAAGTTTTCTATCTAAGGAAAACCAGCTGATTGCATCGACTCATTGACTCTTCAGCAATCCCTCACACTAA